TGGGGCCGGCTGTGCTCAGCTGTGGGCGCTCTGCCTAGGGCGCTCTGGCAGATGGGGAAGAGCCTAGAAGTGGAAGTGGCTCTGCCCAGTCTCCTTGCCCACAAGGCTCCAGGGCATTCTGGGGGCAAGGGGTGTGGCTGCCCTGCTCAGGGGAGCTGCCAAGGGCAGGGTGGGGCAGCCGCAGAGCTCCAGCTGCTTGGACCAGGCCTCCCCACCCTCTCTCCTGCCACCCCGCCTCCCAGGTTTCGGCGCCTACACAGACCACAAGAACTGCAGACCTGCTCAGAGGGTGCAGGTAGCCGCTCCCACCTCATTCCATGCCTGGAAAAGAACCATATCCTTCTCGGCCCCTGTGAGGCACCCCCACTGTCACCGCAGCCATCCATTCTGCCAGGTGGCTCTGAATCAGGGAGGGCCTGCATTCCAGCTGTAAGGGAACATCTGGTGAGAAGGGACGCTCATAGCTCATTTCACAGAAACCACCCAGCTCTAAGCCCTGGGCAGGCTGGGGCAGTGGAGGAGTTGGAGGCTGGAGATAGGGGGACCACTCCCAGGGCAGTGGGATCCTGCCAGTTGGGGCCAGCCTGCCCTGGGATTTGGCAGATTTGCTGAGCTGAGCAGGACTTAGGAAGGCGCTGGACTTGTGGATCAGCGCAATAGAATTATCTCAGAAGTCACACCACCAGGCAGCCACAGAGGACAGGAAAGAGATGGGACTCAGAAATCAAGTAAATCAAGAAATCAAGTTGCCTCTCGGATGCCCACCCAATGGGGATCATAAAAAGGATAAGGTGAATGAATAGAAGTGCCTTATGAATGACATCGCTCTGTTCCAAGGAAGAGGATTGGGGCCACCCCTCCACCTTTTGTGATGTCCAGGCTATCTCTTCTCGGCATTTGAACTGATCTCATTCATTCAGGGTCTACCATATTCATACTTCATGGCATCCTGGGGATGGCACAGGCATATAAGAAACAGACACTGTCCAGAGCAAGTGAGATCCAAGCAATGGATTCCCCATTTTCCAGATAGGCAAACTGAGGGCACTTTGCCTATGCCCCTGTGCCTCACATTCCTGGTAAAATCAATCCTAGAACATGGGCCCCTATTTACCAGACAAGCCTGTACCTGGCTGAGGGCTAGGCTTGGTATCAAAACACCCTACTTCTAGTCCTACCTCTGACACTGATTGGCCGTGTGACCTTGAGCACAGGTTCCTCCCTTGTCTCATCTGTAAAGTGAGTATAAAGTTGATACTAGCATCACCTGCCCCATACAAGTGCATGAGACAGGAGATGTGAATGAACTTTAGCAAATAGGACTCACACATGCCAGGGTGGCCTGGGACGTGTAAGGGCTGTTCTCTGAGTCTTTGGTTGGGTGAGGTGCTTACTGGTAAGTATTTGGATCTATAAAACCATGCGGAAGGCATATTGCTTCCTAGGATGGTCCTACCTCTCTCTGCCAAAACACCTATTATGAGGCTTCAGGGCATTCTGGGGCCAAGGGGTGTGGCTGCCCTGCTCAAGGGAACTGGCAAGAGTCTATGTATGTCCTGGATTTCAGAAGTGCTAGCATTGGTTGAGCACCTACTATGTATCAGGAGGCTGTAGCTTGTTGGACCCATATAGCAACTCTGTGAGGTCGACACTATTATCATCTCCATTGTGCAGAGGAGGAAACTGAGCTCAAGGATGGAAATACTATGCCCCAGAGGCCATCAGTGTGGGTGTCAGATGTGGACACAGGCAGCCCGAGAACAGGGCTCTCACCCTCCGCCCCTCAGCGTGGGCCGTGGGTTGTCAGGTGACCATCAGCCAACCTCAGCACGTATGGCTGGGAGCGGCTTCTGGTGCAATCCCACTCAGGATCCAGGTGAGGCACACCCCCTTTACCCAATAGAATCTGCTCTATCCTTCACAGCTCTGACAGGCCCGGCCCACAGAGGCCCGGTGCCTTTCCGTTCATACCTCCCATTTATTAATACACTCAGCACTGAGCCCCCCAAGCCCCTGGCATGTGTGAATCTCAACTCATCCTCACACCTGGCTCTGATCAAATCTCTGAAGTAAGAGACAAAATTTGGGGCAGGGGAGAGAGTTCAAATGCCCCTGCCCTGTAGAGGGCAGTGTGGTAAAAGGAAATGGGTGTGAACTTTGGCACCAAATACAGCTGGGCTCAAAGCCTGGCTCAGACCCTTGTGGCATTGGGCAAGCCACTTACCTTTCCACACCTTTTCTTTATCCCTGAGTTGGAGGTGATAATACAAATGTGTACCTTTCAGAATTGTGTTGGTTGAGGAAAGAGTAGAGGTGCGATGCCTGACATGGAGCAGGTGCTCAATAAATGATAGCTAGTATTGATTAGTCTTATAAATGCTGGCTGGCTAGCTTACTTCATTTGGTTATTAGAACTGGACACAAATAAGAAAACTCAAATCACACTCAAGAAATTGGTGGTGGAGGGCTTCTGGAGCCAGATTCTGACGGTGCATTTCTGTGGTGGGAGGTCCTCTGGCCTCTGCCAATCTCCCCACCCCCATCGCTTCTCTGTTCTCATAGAAGCACCCCCGTCTGTCTGTAAGTAGTAAACTAAGAGCAAGATCCCTTCCCTTAACAGGGAGAGAAGGGAATGCAGGGAAGTCACCCAAGCCAACAAAGTTCTCATTTTACAATTGAATAAGCAAAGGTTAGACATGGGAAGTGCTGCCTTTGTCAGACAGGGTTACTTGGACATTCTGGGCTCTAGAACCTTCCACTGTGGGCAGAGGCCCTAAGAGGCTGTGGCAGTCCCCCTGACCGCCGGAATCACACCTGCAAAGGTTCCACCTGTCTTCATTCTTCCCCTAGAATCTCCTTCCTCCATTTCCAAGCATCTCTTCCCCTCTTTCCCTCCTCCTTCTTTGTTTCTGATCTGTCTTTATACCTTTTTCTATCCCCTTTGTATCAAAGACCATCTTTTACTCTAAGCCTCTCCTGGCTGTTGAGTCCTTGTTTTGTTTTGTTTTGGTGTGTGGGGGGGATTCTCTTTCGTGAGCATGTTATTCTTGGAGACAGAACTGCCCTGGCTTAAGCAGTGGGAGGGGAAGGAAGGAGGGCCTGGGTGGGAAGGAGGGAAGGAGGGTGTGGGATATGGCTACCCCTTTGGGACACTGCTGTCTGGGTCCTCCAGGGCATGGGAATCTTGGGGTCATCAGGGAAGCTCCCAGAGTGAAGGGAAGGGAAAACGTCCTCCCAAAGAGACAATGAAACAGCAAGCGTCAGCCCTCACCTCCTGCCTGGAAAAACTGCCCAGCTACACAACTACATCCCCTCCCCCAGGAATGGGACAAAGGCTGCAACCAGGTCACTGTGAGAAGCAGCTGCTGGGCAGAGCAGCCTGGAGTCCAAGGTCACCCCGGCCTGTTGCCTTTCCCTCATCCAGGGCCACTTTGCCCTTCTAACCTTTCATGGTCATGGCATGCTGGTCATTAGATTTTCCATGACCACCCAATGACAAGATGAGGCCACAGGAGCCCAGAGAGCTGAGCAGCCTCCCAAAGTCTCAGAGCCATGGGCCCTGATTCCCAGGCTCGAGCCAACATAGCTACAAAAGCACAGAGATGGGACATTTAGGCAAAGGAACAGCAGTCTCCATCCCTCAGGGAGTTTGGCTGAGACACCGACCACCAACACATGGTCCAACGGATTCAACTCCTCCATGTAAGAAGGTGGGGTGGTGCGGGGAACTTAAAGAATTGTGGGAATTTCCTCCTAAAATAACATTTAAGAACATTTTTATTTCTAAAGGAATAAGCCCTTAGCGAGCAAGAAAATGGCTCTAATTTTACTGATTTGGGCTTTTCACTCACATGTACAAGGGGAATTTCATTCACAAACAGTCTTCAGAGGGGAGGATCCCTCTGAGGGCAGGACTCTGCTACCCATTTGGAAGCTTCATGAGGAAAGGGTGTAATTTCCTCAAAACATATTTAGTTTTTAAAGAAACTGCTGAGTTGATCACAGAATGGCTGTACCACTCATACTCTTACCAGCAATGTATGAGTGATCCAGTTTCTCCACACCCTCACCAACATTTGGTATTAGCATTCCGTTATTTTAGCCATTCTGACAAGTGTGTAGTGATAGTTCATGCCTCTTTGTTGAGCCTTGCTATACCTTTCTCACAGTTGTGTCACAGTTCTGGAGGCTGGAAATCCAAGGTCAAGGTGTCAGCAGGGCTGGTTTCTTCTGAGGCCTCTTTCCTTGGCTTGCAGATGGCTACCTTCTCACTGTGTCTTCACAGGGTCTCCCCTCTGTGTCTGTGTCCTCATCTCCTTTTATGAGGACACCAGCTATAATGGATTAGGGCCCACTCAGGTGACCTCCTTTTAACCTTCATCACCTCTTTGAAGGTCCTACCTCAGGACACAGCCACATTCTGAGGTATTGGAGGTTAAGACTTTAGCCTATCAGTTTGGTGGGGGACACAACTAAGCCCATAACAGTAGCCAGTAGCCAAATGTTAGTCCGTTACAGGAGTCAGAGCATTTTCCAGCAGCATTGAGTCATGAGAGAACATTCCCCCTTGGCCCTCAACCCGCAGATACTGTGTGAGGAAGTAGTAGACGTAGCTCACAGTAGCAGCTGAGTGTCAGGTGGCTGTCCATACTGGTGTCTCACCATTGCACATGAACAAAGTTGACTTCAGTGAAATCATGCCTATGAGAAGCTTACAAGCCTTTGCCAAACAGCATACTACCCCATAGAGGTCAACTCCACAGGAAAAGACCCCATGGGACATGAAAAGCCCCCACCTACGAGTGGCTCTGCACTGGAGGTGGAATTTAGAAAAGCCGAGAGGGAGGAGGGCTGGAGGGGGGATGCCTTAAGCAAAGGCAGGGTGGTTTGGGCCACCATGTCCACCAGCCTCACCTCCCTGGCCCAGCATCCCAGAGCTGGGTGTCCCCTCCTGGGACCGCGTCCTCTAACCCGGTCTCCCTCTCTGTGTCCGTCTGCAGGGCTCTGGCTGAGACCATGGCCAATGGCATTGACGAGCTCATTGGCATTCCCTTCCCCAACCACAGCAGCGAGGTTCTGTGTAGCCTGAACGAGCAGCGGCACGATGGCCTGCTCTGCGACGTGCTGCTGGTGGTGCAGGAGCAGGAGTACCGCACCCATCGCTCTGTCCTGGCAGCCTGCAGCAAGTACTTCAAAAAGCTCTTCACAGCTGGCACCTTAGCCAGCCAACCCTATGTCTACGAGATCGACTTTGTCCAGCCAGAGGCTCTGGCCGCCATCCTCGAGTTCGCCTACACCTCCACACTCACCATCACCACCTCCAACGTCAAGCACATCCTCAACGCTGCCCGGATGCTGGAGATCCAGTGCATCGTGAACGTGTGCCTGGAGATCATGGAGCCGGGCGGGGATGGCGGGGAGGAGGACGACAAGGAGGACGACGACGATGACGAGGATGACGATGACGAGGAGGATGAGGAGGAGGAGGAGGAGGAAGAGGATGAGGAAGAGGATGATGATACGGAGGATTTCGCTGATCAAGAAAACTTGCCCGACCCCCAGGACATCAACTGCCACCAAAGCCCTTCCAAGGCAGACCATCTCACAGAGAAGGCCTATGCAGACACACCCAGGGACTTCCCGGACTCCTTCCAGGCCAGCAGCCCTGGCCATCTGGGCGTTATCCGGGACTTCTCCATTGAATCTCTGCTGAGGGAGAACCTGTACCCCAAAGCCAACATCCCCGACAGGAGACCCTCCTTATCTCCCTTTGCCCCAGACTTCTTCCCACACCTCTGGCCAGGGGACTTTGGTGCCTTTGCCCAGCTGCCCGAGCAGCCCATGGACAGTGGGCCCCTGGACCTGGTCATCAAGAACCGAAAGATCAAGGAAGAGGAGAAGGAGGAGCTGCCCCCGCCCCCGCCCCCGCCCTTCCCGAATGACTTCTTCAAGGACATGTTCCCGGACCTTCCCGGGGGGCCGCTGGGCTCCATCAAGGCGGAAAATGACTATGGTGCCTATCTCAACTTCCTGAGTGCCACCCACCTCGGGGGGCTCTTCCCGCCCTGGCCCCTGGTGGAGGAGCGCAAGCTGAAGCCCAAGGCCTCTCAGCAGTGCCCCATCTGCCACAAAGTCATCATGGGGGCCGGGAAGCTGCCGCGGCACATGCGGACCCACACCGGGGAGAAGCCATACATGTGCAACATCTGCGAGGTCCGCTTCACCAGGTGCGCATGGCAGCCCCCGGGTGGGGGCCCAGCTGGGAGAGGGCCGGAGGCTGTGGTGATGACAGCAGAGAGGGGATGGATGGGTGTGTGCGGATGGGGCAGGGATGGAGAGAGACACCCAGTGCAGGGGAGGTCCAACTGGATTCTAGATGCATGTCGAATTCATTGCTAGAAGGCGCGCTAGGCACTACTTGGTGCAGTGATTTTCAAGCTCTTTTTAGAAGGGAAACTATTTCCTTTAAAAATAGATATTTCATTAAATACAGTATTAGGTGGAAGGCAAACATATAAAACAGATCAGAGCAGAGCCGTTCTGGGTAAGGCAGCAGTGAGGAGCCTCAGTACCTTGCTCTCTCAGCCTCCCTCTCTCCCCAGTGTAGATCCAATTGAAAAAGTTGAGGAGTAGAAAGCAGCCCTTTGATTTGACTTGGAGCATGTTCAACATGCCAGGGCTGACCTAAGTGTATTCTATACCCTCTCACCCCAGCCCTGCCCTGGGGAGATGGGGAGGTGCCATATGGCCTTTGTTTATAGATGAGCACTCGGTCTCCCGGTGGCTGGTTGGCCACTCATAAGTGCAGCTAGGAAATAGCAGAGCCAGGACTTATTCCTACGACAGCAAAATCTATGGCTGAGTGGCTACAGAGAACTCTCAAGTTTTGTAGCCAAAATTGATGGGTGGGATGTGGGGGTCAGTTTGTCCACTGCTGGGTATTGATGGGCCTGGTGTGTTGGTGTTGGTGCTATGAGGCTCATCTTCCCAGCCATGTCCTCAGTGGGGACAGTTCCGGTGGTGGCCTTGCATCAGGGCTTGGTCGTTTCAGTGTGTCGGATGTAGACAGCGTCTGGTGGATGTCTGCCCTGTGACCCTGACCTTCTCGATGAGGTCCTTTCCCCACACGGCCACTGTCTGTCAATGAGCGCACCCTGAGAGACTCATACATCTGCCAACGGTGCTGCCGTCAGCCGGTGTCTGGGAAATGTCTCCGTTGGAATTGCTGGGGGCTTGTTCTTCTGATTTTCTTCTTCGATGGGCCCAAAGCTTTGGCCTTTGAGGATAAAGTGAAATTTTTTGAATTATGTCAAATATTGAATAAGGGCCATGTTTTTCGAGGAACACAAGTTCTATGAAGTAACGAGACCTACTTACTTTTTTGGGTGGCTTGGAACTCTATCAGAGGTTTTCAGAGAAGGGCATCAGAAATACATGTTCAGGTGACACTAGCATTGCCAAAATAGCTCAGTGGGCTCATTCGGTGACTACTTCTGGCCTTGGGGTCCTCACACAGCTGCTTCTGTGAGGGAATCCCCAAACAGAACTTCTCCCAGACCCTTTGAGCTAACAGCGAAGAGAGAATCTGGACCTGGACCTCAGATTTCCTTCCTGGGATTCACCTGTCCTCAGGTGTCTTTCATTGCTGGCCCTGCCACTCCAATGCTGCCTTAGGTGATGCTTCCCTCTCCCACTCCACCGCCTCCTGAATTCACTGAGCCCCACAGGCCTGGCTAGAACACCTGAATGAGGCTGACAAAGGCCTAGGATAGCAGAAGGGAGACCAACCAGAACATCATTTGAGTCCAGCACAGCTCACTCATCTCCTGCCCCAGCATAGCCCAAGGGAGTGACTTCAAAGCATTGATACTCTTCCCAGGCCAGATCAAAGACAGTCAGCCCTGGAGTGGCCCGGAGCTTCCCCTCTAGCCACCTAGGGTCCAGCTCCCTAACTTTCACGCCTGTCCCCTGTGCAGATGGCTGCCACGGAGACATCTCTCCCGGCAGGAGGGACCCAGGTCCACAGCTTCCAGGGGATGCATGTGTCAGGGTACAGCACCATGAGCCTGCCCAGCCCCCAAGTCTCCACCTTTATTCCCTCTCTGTTCCTCCCCTCCAGGCCTTTCCCACATGCAGCAGTGGTCTGTGAGGACCACCATTATGTGGGCCTTGCCTTCCCTCGGGAGAGTTTTAAATGTGGTCAGTTGCTGCAGACAGACTCCTCTCCCTCCTGACACAGAAGGTTCTCTGAGTAGGCCTCCCAGTGGGCAGCGACGCTGGGTTGCACAGGAGGGCTGCATTCCAGGATCCTTCCTCCCAGCACATTCCTGGTGATCACTTAGGATGGCCTCGGCCTGCAGCCTCCCCACCCTCCAGATCAGATGGCCTGCGTCCTCCTGGCCATCCAACCATCTGCCCTGCCCTCCCCTCCTCAGAAGGATGCATTCCAGCCTCCATCAGCACCTCCCCTCACGCCCCACCCAGGGTTCCCACTGGGCTCTGAGGGGCCTGAGGAAGATCAGAAAGCTCTGGCCCACCTTCCTGGGAGGCTGGAGGAGGTTTTCCCCAGCTCCGGCAAAGGAGCTATACTTCTCCCTGTGGGCTGTGCTGTCCCTGGGGAGCACCTCCCAACCCCCTCCCTGGCACATTCTTCAGTCACTGCTTCCTTGTTTCCCTCCTGCCACCTCCCCAGAGCTGCACTGCACAAATTCTTTTTGGTCTGTGGAGAATGCCAATGCTGGCCTGCCCAGGTTGGGGCTTCCTGTAACTGTCTACAGCCAAATCCCTCTGCAGCCCTATTCTAGGGACCTTCTTTGTGGCTAACTTCCTGCAGCCACCATTTGTAACACCTCCCCTTTCCCTCCTCCCCAGCTGAGGGCTCTTTAGCAGCCATTTAAAGCAACAGCTGTTGCCTCTTTGACTCAGAGTTCCCAGGCTCCCTTGCAAGGCCAAGCTACTCCCTGGAACTGGGCCCCCTGAGGCCAGACCTGCTGCCTTCAACCCTCCTCTTGGACAGTTTCCCTTTCTGAATCTCAACTGAGCTTCTCTCTGGCCAGGCCTCCTTCCTTTCTCCTAAATTCTGACCCATCCATCTGTCTTGGGGGATGTTGGAGGGGCCCTCTCTCTGCAAGGTGACCCTGTGTCACAGGCTCTAAGCTATGGCCTCAGATGCCAATGCCCAGAATATCCACACCCCATGAGAACAGTCATTCCTCATGACTTCAGAAGCCACAACAGGGTGGAGGGGTCTGGGGATCCTCCTGACAGAACCCTTCTGCCCCTAAAACCTGCCTGCACCTTCCATTGTCCACTTCTCCAAGAACAGGGACAAAGGCCTTCCCACCACCGCTGCCTATTCCTTGGAGTCGGAGCCCTCACCTCTGAATCAGCTCCAGATTTCAGCCAGAACCACCAGTTGTCCCACCACCGGTTGCTCCATAAATGAGACTCCCCTGGAGCCCTGAGCAGGGACTCCAACCAGACTGTGTTTCTGTGGCTCCTTGCTGACCCCACTTAGCTCTGGTTACCACTATAAGTCCCTCCGCCTGTGCCTGAGTCTGTGTTTATACTCTCCAGGAGTTGTCCAATGTCACCATTTTCTTCCTTAAAAAGAGATAGCTTCACCAGGCTGGTGTGGCTCAGTGGTTGCGCGTTGATCCGTGAACCAGGAGGCTGCAGTTGGATTCCTGGTCAAGGCACAAGCCTCAGGCTCTATCCCCAGTGAGGGGGTTGCAGAAGGCAGCTGATCAGTGATTCTCCCACTGATGTTTCTATCTGTCTTTCTCTCTCTGAAATCAATTTTTTTAAAAAAGGTTTTTTTGTTTGTTTGTTTATTTGTTTGTTTTTTAAGAGAGAGATGGCTTCTACTACAACAGACGCCATTGGCTCCACCTTAGGAGAGAGAAGTCTGGATCAAGGCTCCCCCAGGCCCTCTTCATTAGGAGTCCCGCTATTCCCAGAAAGTCTGGAAGCAGGACCAAAGGTCAGGACCACAGGGTTCTGCCAGACCCAGCCCCTAGCACGGGCCTTGAAGAAAAGGGAGCAAATGAGCTCGGGAAGATGAGAGGCACTGTCTCTCTGCATGCCTAAAGTTAGTGGTGGGTCTGCGGCTGCAGCAGGGGCTCCAAGGCTCCAAACAGGGAACCCAGCCCTACACCGTAACCTGCCTCTGAATAACAGCTCTCCAGGGCCATTGAAATGGTATATTCACCTGCCCATAGCAGGTGCTCTATGAAAGAAAGATATAATCACCTTCTTGGTACTTCTTTCACCTTTGAGCCAATTGCCATTGAAATGTGATTTATTTTAGATGCCCGAACGAAAAGCCTGGGAGAAGCTGTGGTTATGTATAGTAGGCCCTTGCTATTAGAAGATTTACCCTTTGCATTGTCTATTATTTGAGGGTGACCCCCAGGGTCAATACTACAAATTACGTGCAATAGTGTTTTTGAAAAGAAACCATGCTGTCTCCGTGGTGAGGCTTAAATGAGGTGCTATATTTAAAGCCCCCTGATGACACTAAGCTGAATTCAGGAGTCAGACAGCCAGTGGGTGTGCCTAGCTGACCACCTAACACCGGTTTCCATCAGGGCCTGGGGGAATGGGTGGGGTCCAAGACATAACCTTCAGGGCTGTGTAGCTTTGCTCTCAGAGTTCTAGTGCACTGTGCACCCCTCTGAACTTGAGGAAAGAGGAAAGAGGCCTGGGCTGGCAGCCAACAGGCCTGATTCTAGTCCCAGCTCTGCCATTAACCTCTGGATGACCTCGGTGACTGTCCTCCACCCTGGGCCTCAGTTTGCCCACCTGCAGCGTGAAGAATGAGCCTAGGCCCCTGGTTCTTAAAGTGGTCCATGGACTCACTAGCTTCAGCAGCAGTGGCTGCATCGATCAACTTGTTAGAAATGCAAATTCGCTGTCCTCTCCATCCCAGACCTACTGAATCAGATTTCTGGGAGTGGGGCCCAGCACCGTTTCATGGAGCCCTGGTAATGGTTCTGATACAATATCAAGTTTGAGACCCTCTGGCTCAGATGCTCTCTAAGGCTTCTTACTGCTCAAACATCCAATCAACTGGAGGAAACAAGGGTTACAGAATGCTGGGGGGAGGATGTCACAGCTTGGTACTACGCAGCCTGGGGGCAGCTGGTGATTGTGGGAGGGACAGGGGATGTGGAAGAGAGGAAGGTCTGCTGTGTGGAGGACACCAGCCAGCTCACTTCCTCCTCACTGCCCATCCCACTCCCCACCCCCACATCTATTTCCCAGGTGCCCTCCAGACTTCCTGCGAGCACAGGTGGAAGAGGCAGGTCTGCCCTCCCTGGTCCCCTTCCCTGGTCCCTGCCAGTGTACACAAGAATGTCCTGCCCAACCCCTGAGGAACCAATCGGAAAATGAGAGCCAGTGAGACCTCTAGTGGCCAGGGGGCCCCAGGAGACCAGGCCTTCTGCTCCTGCTGTCATGGAGTTGTGTTAAAGGTGGTTTATTTAAATCTGGCCATTTTAGGGCAGACACCTGAGCTCCACATCTGCTCCGACTTCAAAACTGGGCCAAAAATTACAGGCAGATGTTCCACCCAAGACAGGCCTGCAGCGTGGAGGTGGGAGACTGGGCACAGGGCTGCCTGGCCTTCGGGTCTGGCCAGGGAAGGCTTCAGAATGGCCCTGATCCCTCAAGATCCTTGCAGCCCCGCTGACTCCACCACAGCCAGGTTGAACCACTCCTTGAGCTGGTTCATGTAGGTTCAGTCTTGAGAAAAAAAACCTAGGATGTCAGCTGTCCTCTCAAGACCACCAGGAGGTGTGTTGAATGTAGGACAACACAAACCCACATTCTCTTCCTCAGCCTGGGCCAGTAGACATTCAAGTCTGGGCCGAGGTTCAGCCCTGCGCAGAGAGGTTAGGTAACGTGCCTAAGGTCCCCCAGCATGTCAGTGGTAGGTCTGCAGCTGGAGCAGGGGCTCCCAAGCCCCAGTGTGAGCCCCACCCCACACCATTCTGTACCTCCGAATAATCCCACTTAAACCCCCAGGAGCTTTGCTGTGGATTAGGCTGCATTCTTGTTGCACCTGGCTCTTTTGTAAACCCTGGAATTGTCTGCAGACAAAGAGCAGAGCCCAGGCTTGGGATAAGAAAACAGCACGCGGGAGACTTGAACGAGGTGTGCCTGCTTCTATAGCCTCCCAGGTCAGCCCCGAGGACAGATGCAGCTCCACCGCCCGCCCGGCTGGGATGGGCCCCGGGGCTCTGGGCCAAAGCACATGACACACTGGAGGGAAGTGGGCATGAGATTAAGGTGCAACCCAGTTTCAGAGGTCACTGCCCCACAGGAGGACTGAGGACAGACTGCTCTCTTGTGGGGATGTGTGTCGCCAGCAGGCCTGTTCTCCTGTCTGTAAAGTGGCCCTGATAGCCTGGGAGCTTCATCGCTCAGAGCTCAGCAGCAGGAGGGGTTCTGAGTGGGGGAGGTGGTTCAGGACCCTGCTCTTTCTCCAGCCCTCTGAGCCAGGTGACAGCCACCCCTGTTTGGGGTGGGGCAGTGGTGCCATTCCTGTGGTTTGAGACCAGGGCAATATAAGCAGGTTCTGGAGGAGGGGGGCAGGGGGCGTGGGTTAGGAGTGGCTCCCGGCATTCTCTGCGGCGGGGACTAACTCCCGGCTCTGCATTGCAGGCAGGACAAGCTCAAGATCCACATGCGGAAGCACACAGGGGAGCGGCCCTACCTGTGCATCCACTGCAACGCCAAGTTCGTGCACAACTACGACCTCAAGAATCACATGCGCATCCACACGGGCGTGCGGCCCTACCAGTGCGAGTTCTGCTACAAGAGCTTCACGCGCTCTGACCACCTGCACCGCCACATCAAGCGCCAGAGCTGCCGCATGGCCCGGCCTCGGCGGGGCCGCAAGCCCGCCGCCTGGAGGGCCGCCAGCCTGCTGTTCGGGCCCGGAGGCCCGGCCCCGGAGAAGGCGGCCTTCGTGATGCCCCCGGCGCTGGGCGAGGTGGGCGCCCACCTGGGCGGGGCCGCCATGTGCCTGCCGGGCCCCAGCCCCACCAAGCACTTCCTGGCGGCGCCCAAGGGCGCGCTGAGCCTGCAGGAGCTCGAGCGGCAGTTCGAGGAGACACAGATGAAGCTGTTCGGGCGCGCCCAGCTGGAGGCCGAGAGGAACGCGGGCGGCCTGCTGGCCTTCGCGCTGGCCGAGAACGTGGCCGCCTCCAGGCCCTACTTCCCGCTGCCCGACCCCTGGGCTGCGGGCCTGGCCGGCCTCCCTGCGCTCGCTGGCCTCAACCACGTGGCCTCCATGTCTGAAGCCAACAACTAGGCTGGTCCTGTTGGCCCCGATGCAGCTGCCCTGTCCTCGCTCCCAGCGGGCCCGCCTGCTCCATCCAACGGATCGGAACTTACTCCAAAATCACAAAGAAAAAAATAGATATATACATATATGTCAGCAGCAATGCTATTTTCCAGGCCTCCTGAGGCAGCTGCCTTCCTTTTGCTTGTGTCTGATTTGGGCATCTCCCCTCAGCAGGGCCAGCCTCTCCCTGACTGTCTGGCTCTCACACAGGACTCACAGGGTCCCCACTTTGGAGGAGGCCCCACGCTGGGTGCTCCCAGCTGTGCCTGCGAAGAGGAGGCTGGGCCGGAGGCAGGCCGGATGCAGCAGAGATGAGGGGAGGGGTCTGGGCACACACCTCTGGTTGAGCCCCACAGCCTAAGGCAGAGTCCCTGCTGACACTGCCCCGATGGCTCCTTTTTCTATCTCCAGAGGCCCTGGGGTCCTTATGGCAAATGTCCCATTGGTAGGGAGGCCTCCTGGAGTCAGGAGCGAGGCTCCTGGAGTCCAGGCCCATTTTTCCTCACCGTTCGTGACCTTGAACGGGTCAGCTTCCTGTACCCCAGTTTCACACTACTAGGAAGGGGGGCTGGTGCTTTAATTTTTCCTCTCCCACCACCACCCACTTGTACATGCCTGTATTTCCAAAACCATTCTTATGAGGGTAGCAGCGGATGAAAACGGCTGGAATGTGGGATTTAGTTGTATCATGCCCACTTCTGTATTAGCACAGGTGAGACATGTGGCCACACTAGATACCGGTGACAGAGAGAGAGAGAGCGGGGTAGGGATTGTCCACAGCTCACAGGCAGCTTTGGGGAAGTCCACACATTCCCCTCTGTTCTCTGGGCAGACTGCTCTGCATGTCTGCGATGACTTTAGCAATTACCTCTCCTCCATGCACTCTGTAGGGCAAGCGTGTCAAACTCACAGCCCAAGGGCCACATGCCTCATTTATTTGGCCTGTGTTAGCCTTTGAGTTTGATATGCTTGCTGTAGGAAGTCTCTTGGGACTCCTGAGGTCAACAATGAAGGGATGGGGACCCTGTCTTAACACCAGTCAACCGCCTGCCTCCTCTTTGATCCCTGGAAATAGACCAAACTCCTGGTTCCCCTCGTTTATCTGCTTTTCAAGTTGTGGGTTTCTCTTAGCTGCTTTTGAACACCCTCTACCCTTCCCTCCTGGGATGAAGCTGGGGTGTGTGGCTCCCCTCAGGGCAGGGAGGCTGAGCCTTGGCTCTGACATGGGTCTGAGGGGCTCTGTGAGCTGGGCTGTCCACACACGCTCCCTGGTTCTTGAGTTTTTGTAGCAGGTCCTAAGAAGGAAGACAGCTCTGCTGGCCCAGTGCCTTCCTGATCTTTCCCCTCTCCTGCCTTCCCTCCCTTTCCTTGCTGAGTCTGCTTTTGTCTCCCGGTAGCCAGGAAAGGAGGAGCGTTCACCGGCACGGATTGCCCAGGCTGTTGCTCCCAAGCCCAGAGCCGTACCCCTTCCCCCCCCCCCCCCCCCCCCGAGTTGACTCTTTCGCCTTGGCTTCTTCCTGCAAACACAACAAACAAAAAGGCCAGAGAAGACCACGGACTCTGTCACACCCCCAGTGCCCCAGAAGACACCCCTGACGCCTCACACTCTCAGATACCATTCCGCCCAGAGGGGATTGCTCCGGACATCCTCTTATCTTCACATGTCACTGCCTGGACAGCGCCTCTGAGACTCCTGTCTCCATTCCAGACACTTGCCGACATGCCCTTGTCTCCCCAAGCCAGGGGGTTGGGGCTGACCCAAACTTTAAAAGAAAACAAGGGAAAATGAACCAATTGGAATCCAGTGGTATCGGGCTTGTGTTTTTATTTTGTAAAGGTAATGCCTTCTTATAAACTCCATTTTTTTCAGATGACTGGTTAGTTCTCTTTGTTTTCTCTTGGCTGCAGTTTGGAGCTGTACATTGTAAAATACCCAAAGATGCTGAGTACTGTACGTTCAAGGAGGACTTGAAGCAAATGGGTTGTGGGGCAGTGGGTCATTTTGTTTTGTTTCCCTTTTATTTTTATTTTTTTGGATGTTCCTATTTCCCTGTCTATCTATGGGAGAACTTTTGGATTTTTTTCTATTTATAACTTTTTTTTTATGTGATTGCTTTATGAAAAATGACACTCAACAAAGTTTGCCTTAGTGATTCAAGGGACAATCCTCCGTAACTTTGGTCGCACGCCGCATCCCGCCGAGAAAACTCTCAGCTACTTTTCTGGCCTATTTATTAAACAGTATTCATTGACTTGATTAAATTCTATTGAAAAGTGACAGCAACCAGACAATCTGTAGACATTCATGGGTTAAGGTTTTGACGACTGGGTGTGATAAGCTTGCAATAATGTCAAAGACGCCTTTACAGAAGAGCACAACTTTTGGCCCTTACTTAATCGTCTGAAGGACAGTGTTTTGAGGGAAAGAGAGCTACACCTGCTCAAGGCCCTGGGTAATGCGGACGCCCCCTGCCAGTTCTCATGCTGGTTGTCAGCGGGTGGTTGACTGATGGGGAGCCCAGCACTCAGTTCTTTAAAATATATTTTATTGATTTTTTACAGAGAGGAAGAGAGAGGGATAGAGAGTTAGAAACATTGATGAGAGAGAATCATCAGACAGCTGCCTCTTGCACACCCCCTACTGGGGATGTGCCCGCAACTAAGGTACATGCCCTTGAGCAGAATCGAACCTGGGACCTTTCAGGCTGCAGGCCGATGCTCTATCCATTGAGCCAAACCGGTTTCGGCAGCATTCAGTTCTTTAATGGTCTCCTGCATTTCAGCTGTGTGAGCCACTGTTTGAACATAAGCTTTTGCACATCTGGAAACCTGAGTGTGAGGTGTGTGCATGGGTGTGTGTGTGTGTGTGTGTGTGTGTACATGTATGCACACACACTAATGTGCAGATACAGCCTGTGGTGTGTGAGCAAGGGAACATCCAAGTGTTGCTGACCATTTTTACACAACCAGCCCTACTGGCTCTTGGTGTGGTGTCTTGGTGTGGTGTCTGGGGGGTCTGCGGGTGGCCTTCCTCTCGTTCCCCAGCACTGGAGTTGGACTTCTCACTTGAGCCTTTTCCCCAAACAGGGACTGCTGGATCCAGAAAGAGGTAAGGAAATGCACTCTGTCTTCGAATGGGATCAGCTCTACTCAGAACCCAAAGCACAGATTCTGAATGAAACTGTTCTTTGAACTGCATTTTCCAGATAATCAAAGCAAGCCCAGAGCCCATTTTTGGTTCCACTCCCCTTTCTTGCCATGTAAACTCTCCTATAAATCTAGTGCCGTGGTCAGCACACTGAGGTTCTGTTGATTAATGAGTTTGCTCACCACATGCAATGTTTCTTGATATAAAGGGAAGGACAAGCCTGGGTTTCAAATTCAGACTCCTCTGAGCTGTGCGTCCTCAGGTTAACTACTTTTCTACTCTGGTCTTCACTCCCTCTCCTCTAATAAAGGGGAGGTTGAGTACATCAGTGTTTCTCCAAGTTCTCTACCCAAACACACCTCAGCAGAGGGAACCAGCCCATTGGGGGTACGGGGGTGGGAGGGAGGAAGGCCTGGGGACTGAAAGAGCCTTAAGTAACCTTTGCGTAGTGTAAAGTCCTCTGAAGTCTCAGGTTTTGGCTCTGACCCAGGACTTGCCCTTCCAGAGGAGCAGGCAGGGCCACATCCTGACAAGCATTTTCTCCCACCCGTTCCTGCTCTCCTGGGACCCTGCCAGCCCTTCCTCCCAGAGGTCCTGTGAGCACCACTGGCTGTCCCCCAAGGGCACCCTCCCTTCTGAAAGCTGGGGAGGTGGGCTTCTTAGGGAAAGAGAGAGGGTGGGGCAGGGAGGCCTTGTCCACCACAGGCCCCTCTGCTGCAGAGCCCGTCCTTTCCAGGAGCAGCCAGGGAGGAGGCCCTGCAGGAGGGAAGAGCTACCTGCATACAGAGGCCCTCCGGGGACCTGGGACTGATTCTGAAGTCAAGCATGTTACTATCCAGCGGCCCCACCTCCCAACCCCCCAGTGAACCCTCTCCTCCATGTGCCTCTTCCTGTCCCAGTTGCCCTTCCGGATCTAGGTGCCCTCCCCTCTCTTTCCTCCCCTCTGTCCCAGACAAGAGCCACCCAGGGTGACTCACGGGCTCCCCCTCCTGACCTCAGCAGCCCCTGTGCCTCCTTCGGGCTGGAAAGAAACACCCTGAGCCAAGCAATGTCAGACCTCAAGCAGCATGTAGGGTGGCTGTTTGGACAGCTGGCCTTGAAATCAGACCAGTGGGCAGTCACCAGCCAGCCGGGACTTTTACTCCCTCACCTCTCCCCACCCTGCATCCCGGATGCAGGAGGCCTATAGCCTCCTTCCCTTCTTTCAGGGTTGCAGTGCCGAGGACTGAGCCAAACATGCATTCCCAGGAATTGATGGGAAGAGGATTCCCTGGGGAGGCCCCACGCATTTTTCCTCCTTGCTACATCCTGGGCAGAAGTGTTCGCTAAGCCTGTTTCTCTGTTCGTGTGACTTTGGTTGGTAGCACCCACATGGCCTAAGCCAAAAAATATGGGTCCAGAAACGGCCTCACAAATAAGGACAAGACATCGCAAATCCGGACAACCCTGGAAAGCCTGAAAACTGGTCACTTTACCTGCAATCAGACAGGCACACACACATGCACACATGTGCACACACACAATCATCAGACAAATGATACCCAGGCTGATGTCATCCTCCTCGTAACCATAGGAGACATGGCAGTGCATGGACAAAACCCAGCAAAGCCGTTTTCCCCACGGGTCTCCCCGCTGGAATATTTATAACGCACACTCTCACTTTCACCCCTGTGGTTCCTCTATTTAACCATGAACTCTGGCCCTGACAACAGAAGCAAGTGAATAAACAAATCATTTTCTGGAATTAAGGAAGGAAGAGAGAGTGAATCAGATCCCTTTCTGGTGTTCCTCTGAAAACTAAAAGCACAAACCCTCCGAG